CCACATAAGCCACAGAGAGTTAGTCTCGGTGGTTTCTGTCAAACCCACCAAATGCTGCTGGGCTCAGTTATCCAGAATTTAAGTAAGAACCTGTCTATGTAACATTACAGCACATTAAACTGCAAAAGGACCCACAGCAGAAAGTTGCTCTTGTCCATCCTCTCACTGTCTGGGGTCACGGCCCCTTGTAGATGGGCGTGTGGAATAGCAAAGACTGTGCCTGTATACTCTAGGAAGATACAGGCTGGAAGACACTCCACTAACAAACCTTTACTAAACACGAGAAAGTAGCCAGGCATTGTGGCGGGTACCTGTAGTCCCAGCTACTCAGGAGGCTGAGGCAAGAGACTCATCTAAGCCCAGGAGTTGGAGGTTGCCGTGAGCTGTGATGTCACAGCACTCTACCGAGGGTGACAATAAGACTCTGTCTCAAAAAAAAAAAAAAAACATTTTCAGGGTTACAGAGATGACAGAGGCCCCCTCAAGGAAACCAAATCTAGTAGGAGAGAAAAGATATGTCCATAGATCATTGTAAATAAACACTAAGTCCTTTGTGATAGAAGGAAGGAAAATTATCTGGTTTGATGAGAGTCAGGTAGGATTCATGCTCTTTGAAGAACAAGCAGTTTCTACAGAGAAGACACAGAGGTGATGCTAAAGGTGCAGAGAACTGTCCTATATTTTTCCAAGGATGTAGGGAGATAAAACTGGAGAGGCACATGGGGTTTGGGCATGCAGTGCCTTAAATGAGAAGCCTAAGGAGCTTGGCTTGATCCAGTGGGTGTTGAAACCCCACTGAAGGCCATCGACATGGTAATCCTCTAATCAGAGCTTCTAGAAGCTCAGTCTAGCAATTTCGTTCTCTTCTCAAAAGGAAGAGAATCCAGAGATAGAGAAGCAGGGGTTTAATACAGATGGGAGTAATGAAGCCCCAAACAAGGGGACTAACAATGGGAAGAAAAGTAAACTGGTGGGTAACGTTACCGAGGTGACTGAACAGAGGCCGAACATTCACTGGAAGTAAAATGAGAGGGGAAAAGGGCATCAAAATGAAAAACTCATGTCAAAGCTGGGATGCCTAAGATGACAGTGCCATTCATAGGCACATGGACTTTGGGAGGAGGAAGAGATTTGGGAATGGTTCTCCCTTGGGAGCATGAGGGCCCAGGAGTTGACCAGAACACAGTCCAAAATGCTTACAAGACAATCAAGGCTGGACAGAGACATCTGGGAGTCATCCATATAGGGGCCATAATGGGAAGTTGGATACAGCAAAGAAAAGCTTTGAAGAGGAAACACATATTTCTTGAGCCACAATCATATGCCTGTGCTAAGAGATCTGCACGTGTTATCTGTAAAGTATTTTTCCCATTCCACAGATGAGAAAACTGAATCTTAGTTTGATAGGTTAGCCAACGACCCAGATCCCCATGTCAGAAACCCAAGAGTCATCCTCTGCAAATCTATACATCTCTCCCTTCACCTCTCACAGTCCATTGCAACATGCCTTGTTAAATCTACCTCCGAATCTTCCTTGGCTTTATTCCCTTCTTCCAACCTGACTGTAGGGCCTCAATTGCTCTCTGCTTGGGCAAGAGCTTCCTAACTCTAGGTCTCTCTGTTCATGGGCTCACCCACTACTAATCCATCCCTCCTACCACCCAGTGTTCTAACACACAAATCCAGTTCTAACTATGCCTTCAGGAGCTTGCAAGGTCCTTGGTGAGGTATCTCTGCTCACTTGCTGGGATCACCTCAAGCCCCTTCCCTGCAGGCACCCCATACTCCAGCCTCAATGTCTCATCTGTGGCTTACAGAATATAGCTATCTTCCCATCTCCGCACATGTTCCTCACTTCTAAGACTGCTGTTGGGGGTTGTTTGTTTGTCTTTTTTTTTTTTTTTTTTTTTTTGAGACAGAGTCTCACTCTGTTGCCCAGGCTAGAGTGCTCTGGCATCAGCCTCGCTCATAGCAACAAAAAACTAGACTCAAGCAATCCTCCTGCCTAAGCCAACTGAGTAGCTGTGACTACAGGTTCCTGCCACAATACCCAGCTTATTTTTCTATTTTTAGTAGAGATGGGATCTCACTCTTGCTCAGGCTGGTCTCAAACTTCTGGTTTCAAGCAATCCTCCTGCCTTAGACTCCTCGAGTGATAGGATTACAGGCATGAATGACCATGCCCGGCTTCCCCACTGGTTTTTTTGACAGCAATTCAGGCACTATATCCTCAAGTTATTCTGATCTGCCAGGGTCCTGTTTTCTGTGCCCGTCTCTGCCTTGGCAGTACCCTCAGCACAGTACTTATCATACTATGGTGTTTGATCCATATGACAATGTCTCTCATTTTATTATCAGGGGTTTAGAAGCAGGAACTTCCTTTTATACATAGGTGTCTAACACGCAACACTTCCTGGTTGAAGTAATAAACTAATCAATTCAAATCAAGCCTGATTCTGACCACTATACAAAGTAGAAAGAAAAACAGGATATGGCTTGGCGCCTGTGGCTCAAGTGCCTAAGGCGCCAGCCACACACACCTAAGGTGGTGGGTTCGAATCCAGCCCAGCAACAATGCCAAGCAACAATGATGGCTGCAACCAAAAAATAGCCGGGCAGAAAGAAAGAAAGAAAAACAGGATAGTGCAGAATGACAAAAAGGCAAGAGGCCAACCCCCCAAAACTCACAGCTAACACCATACTTAGTGGTGAAAGACTAGATGCTTTATTCCCAAGATGAGGAGCAAGACAAAGGGTCTGCTCTCACTACTTCTACACGACACCATGCTAGGGTTCTACCCAAGGAAATAGGGCAAGAAAAAGAAATAAAACACATCCAGATTGAAAAAGAAGAAGTAGGACAGCATCTGTGGCTCAGTGGGTAGGGCGTTGGCCCAATATATGGAGGGTGTCGGGTTCACACCTGGCCCTGGCCAAACTGCAACAACAACAACAACAAAAAAAACCCAAAAATAGCTGGGTGTTGTGGCAGGTGCCTGTAGTCCCAGCTACTTGGGAGGCTAAGGCAAGAGAATTGCCTAAGCCCAGGAATGGAGGTTGCTGTGAGCTGTGACACTACAGCACTCTACTGAGGTGATAAAGTGAGACTCTGTGTCTACCAAAAAAAAAAAAGAAGAAGTAAAACTATCTCTATTTCCAGATGATGTGATCTTTTATATAAAAGCATACTAAGAAGGCCGAGTGCACTGGCTCATGGCCTGTAATCCCCACACTCTGGAAGGCTGAGCCAGGTGGATTGCTTGCAATCAGGAGTTCAAGACCAGCTTGAGCAAGAGCGAGACCCCATCTCTACTAAAATAGAAAAAATTAGCTAGGCATTGTTGTACGTGCCTGTAGTCCCAGCTACTTGGGAGACTGAGCCAAGAGGATCGCCTGAACCCAAGAGTTTGAGGTTGCTATGAGCTATGATGCCATATCACTCACTGAGGGTGACAAAGTCTATCTCAAAAAAAAAAAAAAAAAACCAGCATCAAGAAAGTGTAAAGACAATAGAAGAAAAAGTTTGCAAATCATAAATCTGATAAGGGATTTGTTCTGAAATACATGAAGAACTCTTACAACTCAACAATAAAAAGATAACCCAATTTTAAAAATAAGCAAAGGTGATATTTGTCTAAAGAAGATATACAAGCTGGGCATGGTGGCTCACACCTGTAATCCTAGTATTCTGGGAGGCCCAGGCAGGTGGATTGCTTGAGTTCATGAGTTCAAGACCAGTCTGAGCAAAAGTGACTCCTGCCTCTACTAAAATAGAAAAACTGAGGCAAGAGGATCGCTTGAGCCCAGTTGGGGGTTGTTGTGAGCTATGACACCATGGCACTCTACCTAAGGTGACAGCTTGAGACTCTGTCTCAAAAAAAAAGAAGATCTACAAATGCCAATAAGTGCCTGGACAGATGCTGAACACCATTAGTTATTAATGGAGTAACACCACTTCAAATCTATAAGGATTATTAAAATTTTAAAAAGACGGGCAATAACAAGTGTTGGTGAAGACACAGAGAAACTAGAGCCTTCACAGACCACTGGTGGGACTGTAAAATAATGCAGCTACTTGGGAAAACAGTTTGGTTGTCCTGCAAAATGTTAAACATGGAATTACCACATGACCCAGCAATTCCACACCTAGATATATACCCAAAAGTGTTTGGTACACACATTCACAAACTTACATGTGAATGCTCAAAGAAGCATTATTCAAAATAGCCAAAAAGTAGGAATAACCCAAATGTCAAAACTGATGAATGAACAAAACATGGCCTAGCCCTATAATGCAAAATTATTCAAGCCATAGCAGGAACGAAGAACTGACACACATCACAACATAAACAAGCCTTTGTCTCAATTGTACCCACAGGATTTTAATTTATGGAGGTGACTGAGTGACAACATGGGAGGTCAATGCCACTGAAAGAAGGCTTTTATTATCTACAGCTCCAGAGAGGAGGGGCATGTCCTGCCAAGCAGGGCCATGTGAGAAGCGCCAATTTTGGTTAGAAGGCAGAAGGGGCAAGGGGAAAGCCTGGGCCAGAGGGACAAGCAGGCCCAGGATTTTTCAACTTCAACTTCAATGCCTGAATCCAATTGAACTGGACTGACCAGTTTGGGTTATTCTGGCAGGCTTTGGGGAGTAGGGATTACCTGTAATTGTCTGTCCTATACCTGTCCCTGGCTGGTTTAGTTCACATATGAAAAGTGTTCTCCTGAGAGGGTCCACTGCTATCTCTAAGAATGGGCCAGCTCTGGAGGGATGGTCTCCTCTCAGTCAGGGAGGCCACAAATAATAGAATATTAAGGTGACAGAAAATAAGAAAATACAGTTAATATAGCTGGCTCTGTGATGAGCAGATGCCAAACAGACAAATACAGATTGTAAGAATACAGTTAGATCTCACTGGAGGTCATCAGGAAGTAAAAAAAAAGTTAGAACAGCCTTACAAACATCATGTAAGGAAAAGCAGCCGTCACAGAAGACCAACCTCGTATGATCCCGTATGTGTGGCACGTCCAGAACAGGGAAATCCATGCAGAATGTAAACCGGTATTTGCCAGGAGCAGGGAGTCAGGGAGAATGGTGTAGAGTTCCTTTGGGGGGCATAAAAACATACCCAAATCAGAAAATGGTGATGGTTGCACAACTCTATGAAGAAACTTTAAAAAAATTAATGAATTGTACAAACAAGTAGCTTTTAAAGTATGTGTATCATATAAAATAAAGACAAACCACCCAATGTTCATTAACTGGTGACATAAAATGTGGTGTAAACATGCAATCTAACATTTTTTGTACAATAAAAAGATATGCTTCAACATAGCTGAACCTTGAAAATATCATGCTATGGGAAAGAAGCCACTCAGGAAAGGCCACAGTGTTCAATTCCATTTGGAGGAAACGTCCTGGATAAGCAAAATCTATAGCGACAGAAGGTTGACAGGTGTTTGCGAGAGTTTGGGGGCTCGGAGGGAATGAGGAGTGACCACTTGCTAATAGACAGGGAGTTTATTGGGGGTGGTGGTGAAACTGTCCTAAAATTGATGGCACCTGTAGCTCAGTGGGTAGGGCGCCGGCCACATACACTGAGGGTGGCGGGTTTGAACCCGGCCCGGGTCGGCTAAAACAACAATGACAACTGCAACAAAAAACATAGCTGGGAGTTGTGGCAGGTGCCTATAGTCACAGCTACTCGGGAGGCTGAGGCAAGAGAATCGTTTAAGCCCAAGAGTTTGAGGTTGCTGTGAGCTGTGACGCCATAGCACTCTACCCAAGACAACAACTTGTGACTCTGTCTCAAAAAAAAGAAGAAAGAAAGAAAATGTCCTGAAATTGACTATCATAATAGTTGCATAGCTCTGTAAATGTTCCAAAACCACTGTACACTTTAATGGGCTACTTGTATGACACATGTGAATTATATCTCAATACAGTTATGTAAACTGGGCATGGTGGTGTGTGCCTTGGGAGGCTGACGCAGGAAGATCACTTGAGCCCAGGACTTTGAGACTCTGTCTCAAAAGAAAAAGAATCAGAAAATGAGTAATAAATTGGGACTAGAGCTAAATATTTGATAAGCATCTGTGTGATTCACAAAATAGGAAAAAGTAAACTTTTTAAAGGAAGTAGTAGAACTAGGAGAGAGAAAATTAAATATTTACTAATACTCTACCTCCCTTTCATAAGGTTTTACACAAAGGGGTTTTAAAAAAAAAATTAGAATGTAGTCCTAACTTTCTAGAGCATTGTAGACTGGAGAAGACACCGGGGAGGAGGCAGACTGAGCTCCCTTTCTGTTCTAAACTCCTAATTCAAAGCTGGGTTCCAGATTAGGGAAGGAAGAGTTGGTGAGGAGAAAATGAGGTTTGCACAGATGGATCATCCCTGTGAAGAATCTGTTCACTAGTCAAAGCAGGATGCAGTTGCCATGGATAGAGGTGATGGCCGAGGGTCTCCCCTTTCTCCCACAGCTCCAATTTAGAGGCCTGTGGACATAAGACTGAAGAAAAACGGTGGAGAGAAGCTAATTAATGGGAATAGAATTCAGAGTGAAGCTAAGCCAACAGGTCTTCCCCAGACATCAGCCGGGGCAGAGATTGGGGACTCAAGTGGAAGACCTCCAGGTAATTCTGATCTTTCAGAACAGCAGGCTAGGAGGTTCTCGGCCATACAGGAGGCTGGGGAGGGAACTGAGGACTGAGAGAGCTGGGAGGAGGGGGGATATTAAGCCAAGAGGGCTTCCCAACAGATAAGGAAAAGGAGAAGTGGCACTTCCCGGGCTGACAAGTGCAGCGGGGTGTCTTTGGCACTCTGTCTCCCCCTGCTGAGTCAAGAGGTCTCAACGGCCTGGCCTGTGACCAGGAAAGGCCCTCCAAGGTGCAAGGACTGTTTTTGAGGGGAAAGAGGGAGGAAAGCAAAACTGACAATATAAAAAGCTTATAAATCGGCAATCTCACAATCCCGCAGCATTAAATGAGCTCATAGAAAGTGACACAGCTTGCTCCACAGCCAAAGACCAGACACACTTGGAAAGAGGACAGCCCTGGTTGTCCCCAGGGGGGCACTCTTGCTGGGCTTCTCTCTGTAACCACAGATCCCATCCCTTTATCCAGAGGCTGTTTCCCGGCCTATAATTGATTGCAGAGGCTCAGGGTGGGGGTGGTCTTGTTTTAACTTAATTAGGGATCTTCCTTCAGGCACACACTGGCTTGTTTCTCCAAAGACATGCTCTCTCCAAGAGCCTGTTCACAGATCACCCCAACAGTCATCAAACCTCTCCCTCCAGGAGCACTGGGGAGGGAGCTCTGTGCTGCTGTCCTCTCCCCAGGGTCCCTTCCCTCCCAGCCCTGCCCTCCTGGCTCCACTGTGGTTGTTCTTTCTCAATTTTACAACCCAATTAACATCTTCCACAAAACAGAGGGAAGTTTCACATGCTATTTGTTAGGGACTATTTTTAATGGAAATCAACAGCAGTGCTAACTACCTGAAACTTTCTATCCTGCGGCTAAGAAAACAAACAGAATGCTAAACAAACAAACAAATGCACACACACAAAAACCTAGCTAGGACTATGGTATCCTGATGTCACTCTCAGGGTGTGATAATAACTATGAACCAAGGTGAAGGTCTTTGAAGTCCTCAGATGAAAGGTTTTACCTAAAAACAATATCCCATTAAATCCCTTAACAGCATTCCTGGGAAACAGGGTGGCCCTTTTATCTGCATTTCTCTGATGAGGAAGTCCTGAGATGAAAACTTCCTTGAGCCACAGAGATAAAGGAAAGTGAAAAGTGTCAAATGATTTTTTTTTCTCTTTTTGAGACAGAATCTTAAGCTGTTGCCCTGGGTAGAGTGCGGTACCATCATAGCTCACAGCAACCTCCAACTCTTGGGCTCAAGCAATCCTTTTGCCTCAGTTTTTCTATTTTTAATAGAGACAAGGTCTCACTTTTGCTCAGGCTGGTCTCGAACTCGTGAGCTCAAGCAATCCACCTGCCTCGGCCTCCCAGAATTCGAGGATTACAGATGTGAACCACTGCACTCAGCCATTCGGAATAATTTTGCTACTTATCTAATTTCTGCAAGGACAAATTCCTTCATCAGAAGGCAAGAGCAAGCAGGAAAAAGCTAATGGCATTTTAGAAGCAAGAATCTCATTCAGAATTAGTCAAATATTCGTTAGGAGAAAGGGTACCTGAGCAGGGACCTACGCAGGAGAAGCAAGTCACACCTGGCTCAGTTGGGTACATGAAATGAGCACTGTGCTCCAAGGACACAGACTGAGGGAAGGAATTACAACACAAGTCTGTGAGAGGGGGGAATTCTCAGACTCACAAGGAAGCATCAGAAAGAGTGCAGAAGTGCTTTTATAAAGGCAAAGCTAGTGGAGAACCACCTAGAGACAGGCTAAGACCCCAGGGCAAGGCCAGCCAGCTGGAGTGGACCCAAGCCTGAAGCAGGAGCTGGGCTGCAGGTGGTTTCCACATGGAGCCTCACAAGATCTGACAGTTCTGAGACTCTGGCCCTTGAGAAAGACAAGAGTGGCTGAATGATTTATTTCTTGGAAGTAAGCCTAGAGTAAGACCCAGTCAAAAGAGAGGCAAGTGGCAGAACAGACAAAACACTGAAGTTAAGTGGACAGAACTAGGTTTTATTTTTATTTTTATTTTTATTTTGAGACAGAGCCTCAAGCTGTTGCCCTGGGTAGAGTGCCATGACATCACAGCTCAGAGCAACCTCCAACTTCTGGGTTCAAGCAATTCTCTTGCCTCAACCTCCCAAGTAGCTAGGACTTCCTGGGCTCAAGTGATTCTCCTGCCTCTACCTCCCAAGTAGCTGGGACTACAGGCACCCGCCACAATGCCTGGCTATTTTTTGGTTGCAGCCATCATTGTTGAGTGGGGGGCTTGGGTTGGATTCAAATCCACCAGCTCTGGTGTATGTGGCTGGCGCCTTAGGTGCTTGAGCTACAAGTGCCAAGCCAGAGCTGGGTTTTAATTCAGACCTGGTTCTGTCATTTAGATGACATGATGCTGGGTAAAGACTTAAAGTACTGAGTCTCGATTCTCACCTGTAAATTACAGAACCACATGCTGACCTCACAGAATATGGAGGGGATAAATAAGAGCAGAGAATGGAACAGCAGATTTGAAAGATTTACACATATATGAAGCATTAGTTTACCAATGATTGAAGGCCACATCACTGGGCATCCCAGTCCAGAACTGCCTTTCAAGAATGAGACTTGTTTAACCATATATTAATATATGAAAACATATGTACTATATTATATATAACTATGTGTTATGTTACAAAGACATGTAACATGAATGTTCTTGCTCCTAAAATGTCGTGTAGTAACAAGTAACTACATGTATGTTACATATAACATACATACACATACATAAAACACCTTAAGCAGTTTGCATTATATATGGTCACATACATATATTTTATATTTAATCTGATTTGTTCTAGACATACGCTGAAACAAACTTTGTCACCAGAAATAATTGGGGCAAGAAAGGGAAAGCAAAAGGAGGATGACACTGAATCTAGAAGCACCAAAGAGGCAATATGGGAAGCCTGTCTTGATGAAGCAGCCGCTATGTCCTTGGACATGGTGCTGACTCCCATGAGTCTCACACTTAATTAAGGAAATGACAACAAAATAAGGCAGTAAGACCAATCTACCTGGGGCAGACTGTGTGGCCTAAGGATAAGGGCTCTAGAAGTTCCCAGAAGGAAATGAACATTATATTACACCAACAAGGTAATCAAGGAAAGCTTCACCAGATGGGTGTGGTGGCTCACACCTATAATCCCAGCACTCTAGGAGGCCTAGGCCGGAGGATCACTTGAGCTCAGGAGTTTGAGACCAGAGCATGCAAGAGTGAGACCCCGTCTCTACGAAAAAACTAGAAAAACTAGCCAGGCATAGTGGCACATGCCTGTAGTCTAGCTACTCAGGAGCCTGAGGCAAGAAGATTACTGAAACCTAAGAGTTTGAGGTTGCTGTGAGCCATGATGACTCTATGGCACTCAACCCAGGGTGAGAGTGAGACTCTGTCTCAAAAAAGAAAAAAAAAGAAAGCAGCTTTACGGGCAAGGTACAGAAGCTCATGCCTATAATCCTAGCACTCTGGGAGGCTGAGCGTGGATATCACTTGAGCTTAGGAGTTTGAGACCAGCCTGAGCAAGAGAAAAACCCTATCTCTATTATAAATAGAAAAAAAAATTAGCCAGGTATTAGTTGGGATGCCTGTAGTCCCAACTACCTGGGAGGCTGAGGCTGGAGGATCACTTGAGCCCAGGAGTTTGAGGTTGCCATGACCTAGGCTGATGCCATGGCACTCTAGCCTGGATGACAGAGTAAGACTCTACAGAAAAAAATTTTTTTAAAAAGCCTCATGGCTCGGCGCCTGTGGCTCAAGTGGCTAAGGCGCCAGCCATGTACACCCAAGGTGGCGGG